GACGAGAATGTATCGAAAACAAGCGTGTGTTTGCCAATTTATCTTCTGAAAATTTCAACGGGAATTTTCGCAAACTTGTTCTTGATTTAATTTTAGATGTTTAGCCTATGGTCGCTTCTTTTTGATTTGAAACCTACACCAGTTTACTTTACCGTAGTTTAGATAATTTTGTTCATTTACCCTCATCTACATTTCAGTTTAGTCTTTAATTTATTTTAATTTGTAGTTTGGATTAAGGGGTATTATTGACATGCATTTTTCATTGTGTTTTTTACTTCATTTTATTTTAATCTCGGAAATTCATGGTTCTTTGCATTGATCCGAACATTTGAGCCAATTTAGATATTTGCGTGGTCACACATTTTATTTATGACGCGTTTTTTTTGCTGCCAAACATAAGATTATTTAAATAATTATTCCTATTTTTTAAGTTTATACGCTCTTCTATTTTACTTATCTCTTCTGCCGTTGTTGATGGCCAAACTGTGTACTGCCTAGTACCACCGGTCCCGTAATACACAAGGATGGGGCTTTTTTTGTGCTGTTTTAGGATCTAAATTCAGCGTCCACAGATCGTTATCCAGAGTTGATATCACACTGTGATTGCTCTCTCTTTACGCAGCCTTCATTACAATATTATTTTATGCGAAATTCTGTTTTGACGTTTGCTTTTCTGTATGCGGGCAGCACCTCTACGACCTGCGTAAGGAACTGTTCAACCTTTCTACCTGCACTATTCAAGCCTACATCCGGTGGTCAATCCCTCTTCAGCTATCGTGGGTACCAGGTGCGAGAGGGTGGGGGTAGTGCCGCAGACGACTGATTCACCATAAGTATTTACACGCGCAGAATGTTATTGCACGCTTGTAATTTGCTTAGGAAAAATTTGTGTGGTTTCTGTTAGAGCTACTTATTCAACCGGTGTTGGTGTCTTACTTGAGAACCGTTTATACAGTTTTTCACCCCAAAGGTGCTAGTGGCGTCTGAAAAGTAAGAATGGTTGTTTCTTCCTGTCGTAGCGAAATGTATGTTTGTTAGCGAGGTATATAAGTAAGGTAAATATTTAAATAAGTTGCTTTTGTGGAAGCCTGCCGCGCAGAATCTGCTTTCGTCCTGTCACAGCTTACACCCTTGCCTAATCATCTACTCCACACGTTTTTGGCCTTCTCCACTTTATCGACCGCTTCATACGCGCGTACGCTCAACTGTAGTCGATACTTCCGCCTCGTCTGATTGGCGGCAGCCGATTGATTACTCATTTCACAGCCTGAACGTGACACATCCTCTCTTTTGCTCCTAAGCGGTTGGCTATTGTACGCGGCGCTTGCAGCGGCCACTGCAAAGGTACTTAAGCTCAGTAGAGTTTTTCGAATTCATTGCGGTATCCTAGACTTATGATTTGGGGATCCTTCTGCTTGTTGATACAACAACTTGCGACAGTTGGATTTAACGACAACTGTATCATCAGCAGAGGGATCCCAAAATTTCGGTTTCTTCCTCGAAAACGCCTTGTTATCAATATGTTTAAATGAACGCTTCTGGTAAATGTGTGTTATGTTGGTACAAAGAGTACCTGATCGGCAAATGCAAACAACTAATTTGGTGCATACATGCCTCCACAACGCCCACGCATGTAAGGAAGGCTGTTTAAATGGTTATCTTTAGAGTGTGGGGACAAACAAACCTCTATGCGCTCTCCTGAAGCTACTGCCTGCACAGTGCCACTAGTCACTTATCCAGGCCCCTTAGTTCCGGTGTAATGCCACTCCTCATTTCGTTGATTAACGTTCACCGATATCTAACGGAAGTCACTCGTCCCGCTCCGCCCTGAGGGTGCATTCTCGATCCCCTCCAGCAACTGCAATGCGGCGAGTATTTTAGGCGGATATTGCCGGCAACGAAAAGGAGACTGGAATGGCTATTTCTGCCAACTAAGCTGTCATAAGCCAGTCCTATCCAGCCTGAGTTGGTGCCCTAACTGAGGCTCAATGGATAGAGCGTTGCCAATACAAGCAAATGTGCAAGTCCCAGGAAGTAGAAGAAGA